GCCCTCCATTGCTCCTGCAGAGGGCCCCAGGCTGGGGCAGGGCAGGGCACCCCTGGCTCTCAGAGCACTTCAGACCTCCTCAAGTGAAAGCCACTTGCCTAAGACCTTGTGTTCAGAAGGATTTTTTAGATTAGATTCTTCACATTATCTCCCAAGGAGATCACAAGATGGTCACAGCCTCCTGAAGGGGTCAAGGGAGGCAGGGGGCCATCAAGCCTCCTCAAACTCTGTCCCAAGATCCCAACAGAGGCGCAAAAGGGTCCGTTTTCTATGCATCTTGTCCCTCCTGCRTCTCACGTACCTGCATTGCAAACCACTCTCTGCCTGTTTTTTACAGGTTTACATTTGTTCAATGTGAATGTGATTTTTGTATGCTTGCTTTGGAAGTTTTTAAATTTGCTTTTATGTTATGGGAATCTTGGAAAACTGGGCTCTTTCCTGACCCCTCCCCCAAGCCACAGAGAGGTGGCATGAGTCTTTCYACAGGCCAAGAGCCCGAGTCCAGGGCTTTCCCGAGGCTCAGGCCAAGTTCTCCAGGGCTCCTGCTCCCCGGTGTGGCTTCTCCACCGTTCTGGCTGGGACCTTAACATCACCCTCTGGCCAGGAACCTGGGTACAAGTGGGGCTTCTTTCTGGGAGAAGGCAGCATGGGCCTCTGGGGCTTCAAGCCAAAGAGCTTTTGTTTTGAGGAGTCTCTGGTACTTCCAGCGCCTAACAATTGCAGGCCAGTCGTCAGCCTGAGTCATGGGCCACCAAGGCAGGCCTGGCCAGGGTCAGCCTTCAGCCAGGTGCGACCCACAGGGCCCTGCGTGGACTGCAATCTGATTTTCCCTCYGGCAGCATCCAACCAACCCCAGGGTCTGGGCTGGACTGGGGATGATGAAATTCCAGAATCCTGTGGCTCAGYGTACAGATGTGGGAGTGCCAGGAGGCCAGCACCATGCAGGACCCTGACCTAGCATGACCACAGCAAGAAGGAGCTACTTCAGCTGCCCAAGGGGCCTCTGCACTTGCYGTACCTGTTGCCTGGACTCCATCCCCCACTGGCCCAGTATTTTCCTTTGCTTGGTTCCTGTTTTCCGGGTACTGAGCCCAATATGAGCAACCATTGTCACCAATGACTCCTCCAGGGCGTCATCTCATTCCATCCCCCTGAGTCCTCTAAAGCAGGCCTCRTACTTCTACTATCAATGAGGAAACCAAGTGCCCAGGGTCTCCCAAGGGGAGAGGCAGCAGAGGGGACATAGCAACAGACCCCCCAAGAGGGGTTAGTGAGGCTGTTGCAGCGACCATGAAGACTGCCCACAGTGGGGACGTCCCCGCCCAGCCCYGATTTCTCATGGTGCCCTGACCCAAGACAAGCAGGCTCCAGAGTGAGTGCCCTGGACCACATGACAAATACTGTTGACTCAGGTCTCTCCCCTAGATGACAGATTCCTGTGTCAGGGTCGTGTCTTGCTTTCACCATGGTCCCAGGATCAGCCGTGCCTAGCAGAGAGGACAAATTGTCCAATGAACAACTGGTTCTCTAAGGCTTGGTCTTCTCAGCACAGTTGATATGTGTGGCACATAGTAGGTCTTCAGGAGGAGATGGGGGTGGTTATSGGTGATCTGCCCTTTGCCTTAGAGGGGTCTGACCTTATCCCTCTTTYGCCAGATTCCTTCTCCAGGTTGCTATGGGATGAACAGCTCCTGGGGGGTAGGGGACAAGAGCCACAGGGCCTGTGAATCAAAGTCCTGTGCAGGGACTACCACTGACAGGAACCCCAAAGTAGCAGAACAGGCAGGGGTRTAGCCTGGCAGAGGGAGAGGAGGGGCGGTCTGGCTCACTCCCTCTGGAGGGGGCCTCTGGAACCTCCCCCACAATCCTTAGAACACCAGCTGGGTTGGGTGATGTGTTTTCTGAGTGTGACACCCGTTGGCCAACAGAGGACAGCAAATACATTTTTTATGATCCTGGGAGGCTCAGTCCAGTCACGTTTTCGCGCAGAGAGGCTGGGCGGTGGAAAGGGACAAGTCATGTCTCAGTTATTTGGATCCTCTTTGGATAAGCAGCGGCTTCTGCAATGGATCTGGGGATCCCTGGGAAGGGGTGTGGGTGGGGCGGATTTCAGGCGGGGGCTGAGCTGGAGTGGCATTCCCCTCACTGCCGAAGCCAAACGTACCTTCTGGGCGTGGGGCTGTAAGCGCCAGAGGTCAGATCTCTGCCAGGTGGGAAGTGGACCTTCAGGCCCCACCCCCGACCCATTCCCAGCACACCCCTCAAAGCCAGGGGCTGTGGAAGCACTAACAAAGTGACACTGGATTGGGGAGAAGGAAACACAACTTTATTTTCTGGTCTTAAGGTGGTTTGGAATTTGGGGGAGTTCTGCGATTTCGGACCTGGGGTTTCCAGAGGGCTGCAGAATCCCGGGAGGTTAGGGGATGCCGAGGAGTGGGTGGAAGAGGTGGGGGCCCGCCTGGCTGGATGCTGCTCCTGCCTCTGTTTGTACCTGGGGGTTGGGGGTGCTGCAATTGGGGGAAGGGCTAAAAGCGCCTGCTGGTACCGTCAGTGGGTGTTCCCGAAAGAAGGGGGCAGACCCGGGGGCGGGTCTGAATCTTAAGTGGGTGCGTCCCCATTTCGGGCACCCCCGCGGACCCCCGCTCAGGGATCCCTCCAGTGCGTTGGGAGGAATCTTGCCCCCCGCCCCCCAGGAGGAAAGCCTAGCCTCGGCTCCCTCTCCCAGCCATGGGGGCATTGGAAGTGGGGAGTCTCCCTTTTCCTCGGTCCCCCCAATTTGGAGAACCCCAGGCTCTGCCCCCACGGGTCGAGGCTGACGTCGCCGCCGCATTTCTAGGAATGCCCCTATCCGCAGACTATATTTGGCGAGGGTTTCTAGGAAGGCCCCCCGTCCCCGCCCCCACCTCCCCCGCCCCCCGGGCGGCGCTGGCTTCCAGGCTCTCGCCCTCTCCGGGCCGGGGAGGAGCCGCCCCGCCGCCAGGGCCGCCGCCGCCGCCTCCCCAGCGCGGCCAACCCGGCCGGCCCAGCCCCCGCCCCGGGCCGACCATAGGGCGCTGGGGGGGCGGGGAGCAGGGGCGGGGGCCGGCGGGGCGGGGGCGCGGCTTTGTGGCGGCCGCGGACCGCGGAGGCCCGGTGCAGCCCCGTCGGCTCCGCGCTCCCTGCAGAAAAGGATTCTCTGCGCCCCCTGCCCATCACTTGGATCTTGTCTGGGGAGGGGCGGCTTTTCCCTGGAAGTGCCCCCGACCCCGCCGCGGCGAGGGAAACGAGGCTGGGCTCCGATCGCGGCGGAGGCTGCGGGGCCCGCGGGGCGCACCCCGCCCCGCGCACGCCTGCCCCGAGCCCTGGCAGGCGCAGCCCCGGGGGCTCCCCGCACCCGGGAGGAGGCGGCGGCGGTGAGTCTTCCCGGTTTCTCCCGCGTGGCACCCTTCCCCGAGCCCCGGCACGGGTCGCGGCAGGGTGCGGGGTGGACGCCTGGGGGTGGGGGGAGGTGGGAACCCGAGCAGGAAGGTGGCGGCGGGGGTAGCGCGCGGCTCTCCCGGGACCCGGTGCGAGACGCTGGTCTGGGCTGCGATCGCGGTCGCTGCCACCACCCCCGGCGGCGGGGCCGGGCTCCCCCACCCCAGCCCTGTCCCCAGAGGGGCGTGTTAGGCCAGGAGGTGGGCCGGGGGCGAGGCAGCCCCCCACCCCCCTAATAATGCCGGGGCTGGGAAAAGAGCSAGGCGGTAGAAAGCCAGCACCCCGCCCCCACCCCGGAAAGCCCGTTCGGGAAACTGACTCGCTGCGTGACCCCGATATCAATGCGGTGCCGAGAGCAGGCCGCCCGCCCGCCCGCCGCGCCCCACTCCACGTGCGCCCGGGGCCGGACTGGCACGGGCGGCGGGGGCCGCGCGCGCCTCGGGGGACCGGCCCCGGGGACTCCGGAATGCCGGGAGGACAGTCCCCAGAGAGTTACCATCTCACCCCCCCCCCAAAGAATAAAGTTAGGCGCCCCCTCCCTCTGGGAGCAGGCGGCCATAGCACGTTGGCCTCAGCCTCTCTGGACAGGAGTGAAATAAAGAAGAACTCGGTTCCGGGGTGCCGATCCGGGTGTCTGGGCCCGAGACGACGCCAAGTTAGAATTTAAAAGAAAAAAGTTAGAGGGGAAAAAGAAGAAAAGAAAAAGGAAAGGCATTTTGATTTGGGAGGGGGGTGGCGTTTCTGGTTTCTCCTGCTTCCAGTCCCCACCGAGGGGAGCGTTGGAATGTGCCGCTCGGATCCTCTGAGGACACATCCATATTTATAATTTATTTTTAGGAGAAGTTGTGAAAAAGGGAGGGGGGTTAAGTAGGGGGGAAAAGGTGTGCTCGGRAGGGTGGCCTTTCCGGAACCTGAAGGCTAATTGAGCTATTAAGGTGGAAATCATTTCTCCCCATCTGGAGGAGCAGCAAATTTGACTTTAATGAGTGACAATTAAGGGCATAAATATCTAAACTTTATTTAGCTGGGGGTGGGGGGGTGRGGCTTAAGCAGCACCTCAGACACTGGATTTATGCGTTGCTAAGGGACTTTGGGGGAGCCCCTGGTATTTGGGGGACGCTTTCAGGCCTGAGTGTTTGGCTGTCCCCCGGAGGTAAAGGACACTCCCTGGAGTGGACAAATGCGCCYCTCCCTCCCACAGCGACTCCCTGGTTTTCCTGAGGGGGCAGCCAGCCAGGATTCCTTTAATTATCCAGGATTCTCCCAAATCCTGCCTGTCGGGCAGCCTGCCCCGCGSGGTGAGCTGTGAAGGGGACTCACTTCGGGAGGAAGGTTCCGAGGCGGTGGGCCCAGAATCGGGGTTTTGAGGGCGAGATGTGTTTATGTTTTATCCAACTGGCCCACAAAGTCCCGCTTTTGGGGTCATGCTCTGCAGCGAGCGGTTCAGGCCCCGGGGGCTGCGCGCGTGGAGCGGCTGGAGAGCAGGAGGCTCGTCACTCTCCCAAAAGTCAAAGGCCGGTGGGCAGGGGGCGTGCTGATCTGCAAGTGTCTTCTGGGTTTGCTGAGCCCCGCTGTGATTTCCAGGGCCTCTCCTTCCCCGGGAGGCCAAAGAGATACCAGAAGGTGGAGAGCACAAGGTCTCCCCCTCAACCCACCCGCACCGTGGCTTGCTGAGATGTTGTAGTGGACAGGACCCGCGGGGGATGAGCGACACGTGGGCTGGCTGTATTCAAGTGTCTGAACCAAACCCCCCCCCCATAAAATACCATGAGCTCATAAATCGCGATGACATTAGATTTCAAGGGAGCAGGCTGCTTCTGGCTTCCACCTGGAATCGCAGTTTTCTGGCAATTCTTTGCTGACTCTTTGTGGAAGGCGTTTGATAAAGTGTGCATCGTGTGTTCAGGGGGCATCTCTAAGGCAAGGCTAGTGGGGAGTACAAATGCCCCCCCCCTCCACCCCAGGACTTGAACATTATGAAGTTGTAGTGCTTCTCACTGAATCTGATCTCCAGTTGCAACCTATATAGGCATCCCTGAAGCCTAAATTATTTTTAACGAAGGGCTCACAGCAGGGAATAGAAAATGGAGCTGTCCCTGAACAACTTTTGAACAGCAGAGTCCCAGGGTGGAAGATGTGGTGATTTGATAGACAGACGTGGCACATGGACACACAGGGGAGGTTTGTGCTGCCCTAGCAGAAAGTTCTTCACTTGCAGAGTTCTTTCTCTTTATTATGGGACACGATGAAACAGCACAATTCTCAGGAGTCCACAATTCCAGCGTGGCTCGTCCATGGGAAATGGTCACATTGTGAATTGTGTTTGTGCTTTGCTGAATCGCCACCCCGAGCTGACTGTCAAATCCTATTTGCTTTGCTAAATAAGGATATCTCACCAAATTAGCCTTTAATGATACGTCTACAAATAGGGTGTTTTACGTGAATTAACGAGGCCGGAACATTGAACGTTGCGCCAAGATACTGAGCTATAATTGAGGCGATGAAGCCGAATGTTAAAATTACTGAATTGTTAAGTGTGGAAAATCAGACGGAATTTAGTGCTAAATGTGAAACGATTTCTGCTTTAATGGTGAGCGTTCCCAAAGCACAGGCATTGCCTAAATCCAGCCCTCTGAAACCGTGCATGTAATTATGAATACACTTAGCAAACTTCCCCCCCTCCCTGAGTTTTCAAACAGGAAAAGGAGTATAGAGAAGAGATCATAAATTAGTATTTTGAAGGGAGGGTTCTTCATTAATTCAGCAAAGGACCCTCCCTGATTTTTATATTTTTACTGCCACCCTCCCCCAGTAATAATAATTTTAAAAATATCCAACATGCAACTGTTGAATACGCTAAACACATTTGAACTTTTCTCCTTTTGCCTCTGTGTGTGKGAAATTTCATTAAGTAGTTGCTATTTCCCCACCCCCAAAGAAGTGCTGAGATAGAGAACAAAAATAGCAACTTTGAATTTAGTTCTTAGCAATACACAAGGCATACAGGAAAAATATTTTGATAGAAGGAGAAAAAAATATGGTTGGGGGTAAAATAGAGACTAGGCTGTAATAAAAAAAAATGATACTTCCTTCAAAATAAAGCATGCATTGATGGCACAAACCAACTCTAACATTCAGAACAAGAAATTCTGAAGCTGATCAACTTACAGCTTCCGTGGTGGGTAGATCACCCTCCCTTAATTTGGACTGTGGCTTAAAATACAGTTATTTTAGGCCTGGGGATAAAAATTAGTTTAGTGAAAAGTTAAGACAAACTCTGTACTTGGAGTCACTTGCCAGAAAATGTGTGTATGCCCAAACAAAACATGGGTGACCAGAGTYCCTTTATGCTGGAATTTTCTGTCTTGCCCACCAAACACAGGAAAATATAAAATTCTTTTTGCTTGTTCGATTTGGAATGAGGTGAAAATAAATTACAAGCAACAACACGGATGCCCACGGCATGATGTAAACAACTGTAAGCTTCAGGCCTTTCCAGGGAGAGAGTGGAGCTTCCAGGGAGTTGACTTTGGGGTCCCTCTCTCACCCCCCTGCCAGACCCAGCCCCCCTCCCCCGCTCAGGGTCTCTTTCCAAAGCAGTCGGTGTTCAGATGCCGCCTTCTCAATATCCCCAGAGATGGGATGCAGACAAACACTTAGAACGTTTGAAAACAAAGGTTCTGATTTTATATCCTCTTTCTTATRTAAAACATCTTGAGTTTTTGGAACCACAAAGTAAACTGTGGCCCTCGGCGAGTGGCCCCGACTGGGTGCACCACTGCATGAGGGACTCCCTGGAAGATGCCAAGGTGTCACCGAAGGCCATTTTTTAAAATGCTCTGGGAGACGGGAGCCATGGCCTGTTTAGGCTTTTCTGGACTTGGCCTCGGCAGGGACAAGAGTGAGTGGCCAGTGCGAGCCTGGTCAGCAGCTCAGCGKGCTGTGGAAGTTTCCTCAGATGCATGCAGCGAGCTGGGCTCGATGCTAGACTCCTACACGAGCTCAGTGCTAGGGCCTGTTGGCATCTGTGCCCAAGACAGTCTGGACTGCTGCCAGCCCAGGCCCAGACACGGCCTTGTCGCCATTGCTAGAGCCCAAGAGCCCACACACATCCCAGACAGGTGCCTAAAGCTCCCTCCTCCTAGGACCAAGATGGCCTCCGGTTCAGCCATGAGGTGGGCTGCTTGGCGCCCCAGGGCAGTGACCTGGTGATCTGGCGGTCAGCGTGCAGAACCCCACTTTGCTCATTGCGGATTTCCAAATGCTCAGAAACAGATGGGGTGGCCCCACAGGCCGGGAGCAGATCCACTCTGAGCACACAGGGCTTCCCCTTCGGACTGGGCCTTGGCAGCCTCTGTCTAGGGCTGCGACCCTTCTCTCTGGGGTGGGCAGTGTGGYGCAGCCCCCTGGAGCACATCTAAGTGGCCGTGCAGTTGTCTGCTGGCTTTCCTCAGCCCCAGGAGCCACCCACCCACCCTGGGAGCTGGGCCGACTCCTGTCATCAGACTGGCAGGCAGATCCAGGCCAGCAGGGGCAGGACTTGAGCCTGGAAGTGCAGAGAAGGCCCTGGGAGGACCCGGAAGGAGGGCCAGATGGACAGAGAAGGGGGCTCACATCTGAGCCACCTGGGGGTGGGCCTGCTGGGCCAAAATCTACAGGGAAAAGGTTTGCAGCCCACCGTGCCTTGGCATTGAACATGCCCGCTCCGGGAAGTTGGGCTCAGCCCTGAGTCAGCCAAAGCCCTGGGACTCCCATTTGGCCCCGGTAACTGGACTCCAGGCCACCGAAAGGCCTCGTGGGTTCCTGACTGTATCTTAAGATGGCATTAAAAGGTCCCCACCGGGCGCTTGTGGGACATGCCATATTTAGTCTCAGGTTCACCCAGAGAATATTTTAGGTGCTGCCTGAAAGGGGAGATGTGGGCCGGGTTGCCTGC